CCGGTCGTGAGCCTTGGGGGCTGTGGACCGTTGAGACAAGGCCGAGAGGGAGTTGGCCTGTCGACCTGAGTGTGTGAGATGAGATAAGGTGTGGTGGTGTGGAGATGGTTTGGGATGGATGGTTGGTGGATGGATATGGATGGATGTGGATGTGTGTGGCTGGGAATGTGTTAAAAACTGGACATTATTATTACATTACTACTGTTACTTACTTCTCATGCGCTAAGGATGCAAACCACAGCCAAATGTTAGGATCGCCAGATCCTCTTGTTTTATCTTTTCCACTAAAGCTCATCGGTGCTGACCATGGCCTGCACACATCTGGCGGTGTGCAGATTTCCTGCTTCTCCGAGATGCTGACTATAGAAGGATTAGGAGGTCTCGTGCCTACGCTCAAGTTTGGTTCGGAGATGGAATCTACGCTGCACTATGTCAACTCTGATGATGACCCGTGAAGGAGAAGCCTTCACTCGATAGTCTTCCGCTAGATTAACTCTATAATAGGTGTATTCCCCAGTGATGTAATATCTTGTATTCTTGTAATCTTACGATGTATGACTGTGATATCGACTGATATATGATAATATGATGGAATCAACTATTGGTTTCATCATATTATAATTCATTCTATAGATTTTCCCTTCGCGGAAAATTGAGGATGTTTCACTCCCCAGCGGGTGAGCACGCCACCGTCAAGCGGTCTGGACAGCGGTGCCCTGATCCCCTCCAAAACCCTAGATCTAACCCGGCCACTTCACCTCCTTCTCTGTCTCAGTCCTGCGACGGCAAGACGATGACGGCGCCATCGCCGGCGCGTGCGCTGTCCAGCGGGTGAGCGCGCCACCGTCGAGCGGCCTGGCCATGGCGCCCTTGGCCCGAGCACCCGCCCGCGCGCCAACGAGGCAACAGCACGGTGCGGCGGCGAGGTAGACCTCTTCACCTTCCTGTTTTCTTTTCTTTGATTTTCCTTTCTTCTCTTCTCGGATCTATCCGATTTAGGGTTGGGGATGGGGTTAGGATCGAGATTAGGGTTTGGTTAGGGTTAGGGTTTCATTCACTGTTCTTCTTACCCGAGTTTGATTCACGGGTTAGGGTTCGGCTTCGCGTGCCGAGACCCTTTCTTTTCTGTGTTCTTCACCCGATTGGGGTTAGGGTTCGGTGACCCTCTTTTTTTCATTCACCCTGTTAGGGTTAGGGTTTCGTTAGGGTTAGGATTAACCCGGTTCATTTTTTGTCCACCCGATCTAGATCTAAAAGCCCTAGAAAACCTGGCTCTGGTACCATTGTTGATCTATTCTAATCACATGGTCATAGATCTAGCCGGGTACATCTTGTAAATGAATAGCATGTCCTAATATATGAACTAGACAGAGAATAGAGGGAGAAGTAGTGCTAGGTTACCGACCATCGTAGGCCTTCGATCCAGAGGCGTCTGCCATGGGCGTTGTGTCGGTGTCTGCGCGAGGGCAGCGACGGTCGGTGAAGACGGTGTCGGTGGTGGGCGGTGGCGATTGGCGGTGAAGACCGGTGGCGGCGTAGTGCAGTGGTGGTGGTGATGCAGTCCGGTGGCGGCGTGGCTGGTGGCTTCCCATCACTGGCTGCACACCCTCTAGATCAGATTAGGGTTTGTCGGTGGGGAACTCGGCTTAGGCGAACCTCGTACTCAGAGCCACCGGCCCTCACCTCTATTTATTGCACAGTGTGACAGGGGCCCTCGGTTGGGCGCCCCTGACCAGGGCGCGGATCAAAGGCCCAACTGGACCGTTGGGCCCAGTTTGGGATTAGAGATCAATCTAACACATGGTCCTTTACGAGGTTCTCCGGTTGTACCCGCCGGCCATTTCTTTCGTCCAGAAAACATACAAGGAGATGGATATCGGTGGCATCACCTACCCCGCCGGCGTGATCTTGGAGGTGCCCGTGCTCTTCATCCACCATGACCCAGATATCATATCAGGGGAAGCGACGTGCACGAGTTCAGGCCCGACAGATTCGCCGAGGGGATCTCCAAGGCCTCCAAGGACCCGGGCGCGTTCCTCCCGTTCGGCTGGGGGCCGCGCATCTGCATCGGCCAGAACTTCGCGCTGCTCGAGGCCAAGATGGCGCTGAGCATGATCCTTCGGAGATTTGAGTTTGGGCTCATGCCGTCGTATATTCATGCGTCGCATACCGTGATAACGATGCATCCTATGCATGGTGCGCAGCTTAAGCTCAGAGCAATATGAGGCAGCCCGACATGATGTTTATCATAGTGATCTTGTTAAATGTAGATGTAACATTAGAAATCAAATGGGCCTTTTGCGTGTTAATGTCGGATGTAAAAATCTTCACTTAGGGACTTTGTGCTTTTCATGTATCATTGGTGCTTTATTAGTTTTTGTTTCTTTATTACTCGTTATAAACATGTGGATTTGTATCTTAGGCATATATGCATTGTTACTTGGTAAAATGTGTTCACCGTATTAAGGGTGTGTGTCCCCAACAGGCTCCTCAAACCGCTAGTGGACTTGTAAGTGAGAGAAGAATAAAAAAAAAAGAATGAAAACCGATGCAGAGAAACAAAAGAGCTGTGTGTGAGAGATAGAGAGTCATTAGGTTCTATGCGAGACATCTTGTATCCTGTTGCCAACGAGTTGTTTTTTTCTACACTCTCTTTCCTACGTATCAGCAGCAAGCTAGCTCGGAGCTATCTTGCTGTGGAGCTCTAAGTGGGACGTCATTGAGCCATAGCCAAAGTCAGGACCATGTACTAGCACTGTGTCCCTTTAACTTGGAGCCATTTATGGTCCTTAGGATGGTACCAAATTTGTACATTTTCCATTATATTTTGGCGCTATCTCCTAAGGCCTAAGGATAACAAAATCAGATTAGCTAGCAAAGCCACATATAGTGTAGGTAGCTAGCTTTTTAATTGTTGCAATATTTGAGTTTGTTTTTACTTAAACTTGCAAATAGTTTTTTATTTGTTTGATTGTAATTGCCTTCCTTCATGCTCCCATGCTACATCTATAGGCACAAAGTTTATAGAGCTATTGTTGACCAATTCTTGGCTTCAAGACAAACATGCAATTGGTTAGTAATTGCCAAGTACCTACAAACAAAAGATTGTTAGTAATTGCTAAGTAGTACTCCCTCTGTTTCAAATTAAAAGTCACTTTTTGATACATCTATTTTACTATATATTTAGATATAATATATGTCTAGATGCATAATAAAATGGACGTACCAAAAAAATCAAAGCGACTTATAATTTGAAACGGAGGAAGTAGTAATTGCTCATAAATATATAATCTAACGGGCTGTTCGGCTGATAGTTTCTATGGCTGATAAGCCGGTTGATGTTTTTTTATTGTGAAAGAAAAACATTGTACCATGGCTAATAAGCCGAACCGATAAGTTCAAACAAACATGGCTAAAAGATAAAACTATAGAATGTCATCACTTTGAAGTCAATGCTCGAGCTCTATTTTATTTCCACGCATCTTGAGCTCCAACATCGAGCTCTGAAAATGGTTTTTATAGTATATCGACAATTCGAGATACTAATGCTCCCACTAAAGTCAAGCCTCAGCTCACCCTGAGCTCATAATGCTGCTGCGTGGGCATCCATCTGGCCAGACACTCCTTGGTGGGCTGTGACGTCAACCCAACTATCCCCTCCCATCCGCTTGGAGTTTCTCGAATAAAAATCATGTCGTCCACTATCCTCTCGCCCACTCATTCCTATCTGCTCCAGGACAATGCCCACCACCGCCGCAAGCCAAGAGGCACGAACAAGCCAAGAGAAGCCAGCAAATCCGGACAACCGCTGCCCCGGTCGATGCCAGCATGGGTTTCCTGGTGGGCTACTCAGAGCTGGTGCTCTCGAAGCAGCTGCTCCACCTCCTCCCCTGCTGGGGTACATCCACCGCTTCCTCCTATGGGCGTTTCACGCCGTGGACCTCGGCGACCTGATGGATCTCGGGGACGACCACACCAGGCGCTGCTGCAGGACGGCGTGGTGCGCGGCTGCCCTCTCCTGGTTGTGCGACCATTGCCTCCCCGCCGCGTCGCAGAGCCGCCAGCGCCAGCTCGCCGCCTAGAAGCGCCACCGGGAGCTGCTGCCTCCGGCACATCAACGATCCTCCATTCTCCCAAACAGTAAAGAGATGTTGCGCTGAAAAGCACATGTTACATGTGTATGTTTCAAGTGTTTTAGATGTTTCAGAGGTATATTGCAGGTGTTTCATATGGATGTTGCAAATGTAGATCGGGGATGTTGCATATGTTGCAATGATTGTACACGTATGTTGCAAGCGTATGTTCCAATGTTTCATCTGTGTTTTCGGACTATGTTGCAAGTTTGTTTATCTGGATGTTGTATATGTTTCACGCATATGTTGTAAGTGTTTTATTTGTATGTTGCGTATGTTTGTCGTGGTTTTCAAGCGTTTTTCAGGTGTTTTTTTTTCAAGTGTTTCAGAAGCATGTTTTTAGAGTTTCATGTGTGTTCAGACGTATGTTGCAAGTATTGTATCTGAATGTTTCAAAAGTAGATCAGATGTGCTGCAGCTGCTAGAGGAGGCGCGAGGGTTCGGGCGGGGCGCAGACGCCACGTCGGACTATCGCTGGGGCGGAGTACAGACGCGGGAACGGAGAGCAGGAGATCCGCGTGTCCGGACACGCGCGCCCATCCACGTGTCCGTGCGCTGGCACTACCTATTAAAAAAGCAGCACGCCGAACAAACCGTCACATGTGCCATATCTGTCCGAATTCATTTCTTCTCCGCCAAGTTCGTAACGTGTGCTGTGGCCCGCCCGATTGACCAAGATGCAGAGCAACTCTTACACTCCAAGAAACCTTAAACAAATGAGCACTAGATACTTTTCAAAAAAAAAAATGAGCACAAGATAACACAATCATCCAACAAGATGGCACACCTATTTAACCTCACTCCAAGTACCGAACCATGCACATCTACATTCAGTCAAAGTCCACTTCGCATTGTATTGTCAGAGCAATGTTTCTGGGAGCTCTGTTCGCAGCTGTGTCCTCAGCACCACGCAACCTCCTGGTCTACGGTGTCCCTGGCCTTGTCCTGCTGTGGCAGGGCGGCCGGCTGCTGAACAAGCTGTGGTGGGAGCCACGGCGGCTGGAGCGGGCTCTGCGCGCGCAGGGCCTCCGCGGCACGTCGTACCGCTTCCTCACGGGCGACCTCAAGGAGTTCGGCCGCCAGAACCAGGAGGCCTGGGCCAGGCCGCTGCCGCTGGGGTGCCACGACATCGTGCCCCACGTCACGCCGTTCCTCTCCAACAACGTCCGGGAGCACGGCAAGACGTGCTTCTCTTGGTTCGGGCCGATTCCCAACGTGACCATCACCGACCCCGCGCTGGTCAGGGACGTGCTCTCCAACAAGTTCGGCCACTTCCAGAAGCCCCAGTTCCCGGCCCTGACAAAGCTGCTCTCCGACGGACTCACCAGCCATGAGGGCGAGAAATGGGTCAAGCACAGGAGGATCCTCAACCCTGCATTCCATCTCGAGAAGCTCAAGGTACATAAAACTGCATTCCATATAATGTAAGTAATGGCTATGCAAAGATCTGGCTTGTGATTGATCGGTGGAGGGTACGTGACCTTGCATTGCAGCTCATGCTGCCGGCGTTCTCTGCATGCTGCGAAGAGCTTGTCAGCAGATGGGCGCAGCAGTCCCTTGGTTCCGATGGTTCGTGCGAGTTGGACGTCTGGCCGGAGCTCCAGGCCCTCACAGGAGATGTCATCTCCCGCACCGCATTTGGCAGCAGCTACCTTGAAGGTAGAAGGATTTTCGAGCTCCAGTCCGAGCAAGCTGAGCGCTTCGTTGGCGCCATTCAGAAGATTGCAATTCCAGGTTACATGTGAGTAGTTGCCCTGCTTGCTACGACTGCTCAGGCAAATTAGAACGGCTGGTCAGTGTTACATGTGGGTATTGACTATTGATGACCGCAGGTACTTGCCAACGAAAAACAACAGAAGGATGCGCCAAATCAACAAGGAGGTTAACTCGATTTTACGAGGGCTGATTGGGAAAAGAATGCAAGCTATGAAAGAAGAAGGTGAGAGCAGCACCAGCGATGATCTCCTGGGCTTACTGCTGGAGTCCAATGCGAGGCACGCGGATGAGAACGGCGGCCAATCCACCCTTGGAATGACAATTGAAGATGTCATCGAGGAGTGCAAGCTGTTCTACTTTGCAGGGATGGAGACAACGTCAGTGTTGTTGACATGGACGATGGTCCTGTTGAGCATGCACCCTGAGTGGCAAGACCGTGCAAGGGAGGAAGTGACTGGCCTGTTCGGGAGAAACAAACCAGAATACGAGGGATTGAGCCGCCTCAAAACGGTAACTTGTTACTTCACTACTTCTTCTCACTAGGTTTCAAATATTTCAAATATAGTAATGTACGAGATTCTTCTTACAGGTCAATATGATCCTTTACGAGGTTCTCCGATTATACCCGCCGGCCGTGGTGTTCAGCCGGAAAACCTACAAGGAGATGAAGATCGGAGACGTGACGATCCCAGCCGGTGCGATCATTGAGCTCCCTGTTCTATTCATGCACCATGACCCTGACACCTGGGGAAACGACGTGCACGATTTCAAGCCGGAGAGGTTCGCCGAGGGGGTTTCCAAGGCGTCCAAGGAGCCGGGTGCGTTCCTCCCATTCGGCTGGGGGCCTCGCATATGCATCGGCCAAAACTTTGCGCTGCTCGAGGCCAAGATGGCGCTGTGCATGATCCTTCAGCGATTTGAGTTTGAGCTCGCGCCATCGTATACCCATGCGCCGCATACGGTGATGACACTGCATCCGATGCATGGTGCACAGATGAAGCTCAGGGCGATCTGATCATACGACAATCGTGTACGTGTTTACTAAACTATACGTATTTTTTTGAAAGGGCAAACTATACGTATTGGGTCATGGAAATAAAATAACTTTGTATTGGTCTACCATGTACGTATCAAGTTAACCTTGATCACTGTGTAGGATGTTGGGCCATTCTTTTTAAGTTTCACACACTACTGCAACACAATCCTTTTTCAGTTTTCACAGGCGGTCCAAAAACGTTTTCAGTGGAGGGATGCGAGATTGTCCCTAGAAGGTCTATCAATGAGATTTTACATACGCATTGTACTGACTATGACTACTACTTCAAAAATAATTTAAAAAATGGGCCGTCCTGCTACCACGTGTGGCCTTGCTTCGGCCACAGGCAAATGAAGGTGCCCTTGAACCGGGAAAATTTTGGGTGCCGGCCTCGGCAGTCCAGCTCGCCCAAGGGCCCAGAAGAAGCAACCGCGCTAGCCCCGTCAACAGGAAGGTGTCCAGTGGGACTGAATGTAAGACTACGGGCTTGAGAGTAGAGAGGGGTAAAACTACACTTGAAGTATCAGAGAAATACTGTGGTTTTATAAAATACTTTGCTAAAAGCTACTGGGTGTATGAATGCAACAAATCTTGTAGTCTCCAAAACCATAATTTTGTCAAAACCAAGATTTCCGTCCCAAATTATAAGTTATTTTAACTTTTTAAGAGAGTCAAATAAGTTTGACCAAATTTATATAAAAAATAATAACATTTATGATACCAAATAAGTGTCATTAGATTCTTCGTTATACTCATTTGATGTCATAGATCTTTGTAATTTTCTCTATAATTTTGGTCAAACTTGAGATATTTTGACTCTTCTAAAAAGTTAGAATAACTTATAATTTGAAACGGATGGAGTATAATCTAAACAACAATACAACTTTTGTCAAAATTATAGTAATAACAATACTTCAAGTTGATTATAGGTAGGTGAAAGTAGTAGGCCTGTATGGTTTTGTTCAAAACAGAAAGAAGCACGATAGATTCTATAACTAAATAATAGAGCAAATTCATCATCGGTACCTCAACTTGGCTGACGGTGTCTGTAACAACCCAAAAATCCATATACCAAAAATCACAACTACAAAATTTTTCTTCAAAATCCTATGTGATGTTGAGTGACACATGTAGAAGCTAAACCCTAGTTTTGGATTAGATGTGACCCAACTAGGTTAAAATCATAAAGCATAGTTTGGTGTTATGCCACATGTGTAATTAAATTCCTAAATAAATAAATCATGCATGCATCCTTAATTCCACTTATGATTTGGATTCTTTTGCCTTATGTGATGTTTAACTAACTTACTTAATATTTATAATAAACCCTAAATAATGAATTATTTCTTGGAAGAATAAAACACCCCTATATAAAAACTTCAACTAGTTTTGTATAACAAAAATAGCCAATAATCCCTAATATATGGGATGTATTTTGACCATCATTTGAAACACCTTGTGGGACCCACTACATGACTCGAAGCTCAAATTGAAACTCTAACTAAATTTGAATCGAAGCAAAAGAAAGAAAAGAGAAACGAACAGAAAAAGAAAAGGAAAAAGAGGGAGGCAGCAGCTCAGCCTAGCCTGCCTCGACCGGCCCAGCTAGCCCAGCCAAGCCTCGCCTGCCCTTTCACGCACGTAGCCCACGAAGCCGGCCCAGCGTCGCCGCCCGCACGCGCACAACCGCCGACAAGCTGGGCCCGCTCGGCAACCATCACGCGCCACACATAGCCACAACGCGCCAAGCGCCTGACGACCCGACCCCGCTTGTCAGCACAGTAGCATCTTCTTCCCCTCGCCCACGCATTCTCCCCGCGCGATTGGAGGCCGATCAGCGTGGCAGGCGCGGGCCAGGGGGTCACACAAGAAGCATGACCCTGTTTCCCCTTGCGCCGCGCCTACGCTACCGCACGCGGGCCGTCGGATGCGCCGCACGCATCACCACCGCCCGATCGCCGTCCACCATTGGCGCCCTTGGAGCTCGGCTATAAAAGCCAAAGCCCACAAGCCATAACCCTCAACCTGTTCGCCGCCGCCGCTGGTGGCACAGCACCACACCGCGTCAAGCCGAGAGAGAGAGAGGAGGAAGAAGCAAGGAGGAGAAGAAAGCCGCTGTGGAACTGGACCTCGCCGGAGCCAGGAGCGCCGCCCCGATCAGCTACAGCGACGTAGCTGCTCGGCATGGCATCGCCTCATCACAGCCTCGCCTCGCCATCGCACCGCCATCCTACCGCCACGAGCCCTACGGTAAGCCATGTCGTTCGCCGCTCACCACGCTAGCCGTACCCGCCATGAACGCCACCGCGTTCCCGCACCTAGGGGACGCAGAGGCGGAGCATTCCCGCTCCTGGACACTCTGCACACGCACCGCACACGCACAAGCCCAAGGCCTGGCCTCACCTACCCCTAGCGGCTCAGGAACACCGGCACGACCACCCTGCACGCCATGGCCAAGAGCACAACCATGGCAAGACCACCGCGTCTTCTACGTCATGGTAAAGGTGACGTTGACACCCCGACAGGCTCCGCCATGACGAGAGACACACCGTGCTCACCTTAGCCGAGGATGAAGCCCACCGGAGCCCTACGTTGCCGCACCGCACCTCGTCGGAGCGCCACCGCCTCCGCTTTGCCCCCACCACCGTGGTCGAAGGCATTGAGAGCTCCCAGAGCCCCTTCGACCTGCTCGCCATGGCTGTAGCAGCATCGGGGAGCTCGTGCGCACCACCAATCTCTGGTACTGCCGCCACAGCCACCACACCGCCGCTCGTCGTGTACGAGGACCGCCGCCACCGTGGCCAGCCAACTGGAGCCGCCCGGCCACCATGTTAACTTCACCGGGGCACCCGCCATGGCAAGGTCAAGCTTTTGCCCACCTTAATTGCACACCCGCGCTGCTGGAGGGGCTCGCCGATGAGCTCACCACCGGCGGGAGCACGCCGGGGAAGAAGATGGGGATTTTCCCCTCTCCGGCCACACGTCTGTGCACTTGGTGCACGTGAACCGAACCCTGGGAAGGAGTAAGTGGACCAAGACCATCATAGACCGGCTCTGCGGTCTATGGACCAACGCAGGCGGGTTCACCATGAACCGCGCCTCACCTGTCAGTCACCATTTGACCCCGGACCCACCTATCAGTGACCAACTGAGGTGATGACATCATGCTGACATCAGTGGGACCCACCTGTCAGCCGTAGTTTAGCTCTGATGGCGACATGCTGACGTCATGCCGATGATGTGACCATGCCAGCGTCAGGGACTTCGGTGATCTTTCCGACCACATCGGCAAGCTCTCCGACCACTTTGGCGATGTCGCCGACCACTTTGGCGATCTCGCCGACCACCTCGGTGACCTCACCGACCACCTCGGCGAGCCCTCCGACCACCTCGGCGACCTCACCGACCACCTCGGCGAGCCCTCCGACCACCTCGGTGACCTCACCGACCACCTCGGCGACCTCTCGACCACCTCACCTGCTGATACACCACTCCAAGCCCCTACATGCCACGTAAACCAGTCACAGTGTGACACGTGTCAGCCCTGAATTAATCAGCCTTTGTTATTTTCAGAAATGGATTTAATCTTCAAAAATTCATAACTAATTCATACGACCTCAGAAAAATATGAAACTAGGATCAAAATTCATCTAAAATCGAGCTCTACGCAATGAACCCATGTTTGAGTGCATTTAGCTCTTTTGAATTTTCATTGCTTTTTGTGCTATTCTATAGACGTCGCTAACGCGACTATAATGCGATCGTTTGCAGGCTCGGAGGAGAACCAGATGGATGAGGACCGAGAGTATCATGAGGAGGATGGAGACGACTTCACTAAAGGTGCCACATCCCACCCAACCTCGTAGCACCTATTACGCATGGCTAATATAGAACTGCTATTGCTTTACTTTATTGTTATACTCACACTAAGATAGGACTTGCATGGTAGTATGCTTACTTGATGGCTTTTACCTTGACACAACCTTACCCCTGCTTACCCTGCTATTAGGCTAGACACACGCTTGCTGCTATATTTCATTGCTTATTACTTCTACTACGCTTGCACTACCTTGACGCACGGTGGAAACTGGTGTTATCTGGACTATGGGGAGAGTGTTGCGTGTGTGACTTGGGTGCGTGGAGGGTGAGAGTTGTGTCGACCAAGTTGGAATATACGACGAGCCTAGGGCAAGTCTTGCCGCGGGGTGCTACCTGGGCACCCCTGGAAATGGATACCTGTGGTGGGTAAATGGTATATGAGGTGGCCCTAGGTGTGAAACTGTGATGGGAAGAGCCCGGGATGGAGGTGCTATGGTGGCGCGGTAAATGGAAACCTTGATGAAGACATTCTGGCTTGGTCATCCCTAAGGACTTACTAGTAGTCAGATTCACTAGGAAGCCTTACGTACCACTCGCCCTATATGGTGCGGGACGGCCGGACTACTGGGTAGGATATTGCCACTACTGCTAGGTT